CATCCTAATCATCTTCATCATCATCACCACCATCGTCATCATCATCATCATCATCATCGTCATCATCAACATCGTAATCATCAACATCATCAGCATCAACATCAGCATCAACATCGCCACCATCATCCGCGTTTCGTGGCCCCGTATAGAGCTCCACCGAAGGCCCCGGTGGCGGTGTCCACATCCGTCTCCCCCACCCAGCACGGCGCTTCGTGGCCCGGAGCTTCACCTAAGGCCCCAGTGGCTGTGTCCACATGCGTCTCCCCCACCCAGCACGGCGCTTCGTGACCCTCATACGGAGCTCCACCCAAGGCCACAGCGGCGGTGTCCACACCCGTCCCCCCTACCCAGCACAGCGCTTCGTGGCCCCATGGGGAGCTCCACCGAAAGCCCTCGCGGCGGTGTCCACATGCGTCTCCCCCACCCAGCACGGCGTTTCGTGGCCCATCGGGAGCTCCTCCTAACGCCCCAGTGGCGGTGTCCACATGTGCCTCTCCCACCCAGGACGGCGTCTCGTGGCCCCACATAGAGCGGTGTCCACATGCGTCTCCCCCACCCAGCACGGCGTTTCGTGGCCCGCTCCCTTTCTGCAGCCCTCAATGGCCCCCTCCCGCTGAAGGGATTTCCTGCTTAGGGGCTTCGTCCTCCGTCTTTTCCTTCCCTCCTTGCTTCCCCCTTCCCTCCTACCTCTCTTTCCCTGCTCCCCTCCTCCTCGCTCCCTTTCTGTTCCGAGACTTCTTTGTTTTACATGTTAAACAAACTGCGCAAAGTACACGAGGCAGGGAAGCGAGATATTCCCCCCTAAAGCGGGTGCGATCGAGGACGAAGAGGGCGGGTACCCATGGCTTGGGAACGCACATATAGATTGACACACGCGCGAAGAATAGCTAGCAGCATTAAGATGATGAACGTTGCTGGCGCTGCTACAATTGTTGTTGTGTTCGTTGCTGTTTTTGTTGCTGCTGCTGCTGCTGCTGCTGCTGCTGTTGTTGTTGTTGTCAGTGGTGGTGGTAACGTTGTTGCTGTCGTTTTTGAAATGCAATTTCCCCCCCAAAATAGTAGTAGTGTTGATCCCTCCTCCGGCGCACAATGTATTTGTTCAAGTGAAGTGCCCCCCTGGGGGCCCACACCACAATGTATTCCAAAATCGCGCTCTAGCGTGGGAAGTCCTCACAATCTATACAGGAATCGCGCTCTCGCGTGGGACGTCCTCGCAATTGGATTCAGACGCTGCGCCCTCGACGCTCAGGAATCCCGCTCTCGCTGTGGCATTTCTGTATTTAGTTGGGAATCGCGCAATCGCTCGAGCTCTCCTCGCGATTCATGCGACACTCACGCTTGAGGAACACGCCTTCTCGACCTGGCCGCCTGGGCACGCCTTCCCGACCCGCCTGTTAGGGTCTACCCGTCTGGTGGGCCCGTCTGATTCTGCCGTGTTTTCTGCTCCGGGCCCCCCTCTTGCCAATCCCGTGCTCCATCCTTCTCCCTCCCTCTTCCGTCCGTCCTCTCGTCCCCTGTTTCAGGGGCTGCACAAATTACTCGCGGCGGGTGAGGAAGATATATCCCCAGGCGGGTGCGATCGAAGACGCAGAGGGCGGGTACCAAGGGTTTGGGCTTTACGTGTTGACTGGCACGCGAGCAGGTCATAGCGAACGGTCTTAAACTGATTATTGTTGATGCTGTTGTTATTGTTGGTGTTGATGGTGCTATCGATGTTGAATTCTCATTTCTAAGTAACTATTGTAGGTGCCCCTCCGGTAACCAGTTTACTTGTTCGAATAAAATCCTTCTTCTGGGGCTCGCACTCTGGTGTTGTTTTACAACATAAAAATATGTCCCCAAACTATGTTGTTGGGCCCCGGTTAACAACAACAGCGGCTGCCGCCTGATACCCCCTCACAAGTTACTCCCACATCGTGCTCTCGTGCGGGACTTCCTCACAATTTACGCAGGAATCGCGCTCCCGCGTGGGACGTCCTCGCCATTTATTTTAAACGCCGCGCCCTGAGGAATCACGTTCTCGTTGTGAAGTTCCTTAAAATTATGTGGTAATCGCGCTGTCGCTCGACCTCTCCTCGCGATTCATGCAGGACGCACGCTTCAGCAACCCGCCTGCGCCTTGTCCCTTCTTTCCGTCCGTCCTCTCTCCCCCTGCCTTAAGGGCTGCTCGAAATACACAGTGCAGGTATGAAAGATATACCCCTAAGGGGTTACGATCGATGACGGAGAGAGCGAGTATCGAGAGTTTGGGATATACGTGGTGAATGGCACTCGAGTAACTAAATAAGAAAAAACAAAACTAAAATGATTGATGGTATTGTTGTATTTGTTGTCGGTGTTGTTGTTGCTGTGGCTGTTGTTGTTGCTGTTGCTGTTGCTGTTGTTGTTGTTGTTGTCGTTGTCGTTGTTGTTACTGTTGTTTTTGTTGATGTCGTCGTCCTCGCCCGCGACCCGCCCGCGACCCACCCGCGACCCACCTCGCAACCCACCCTCAACCCTCCCCGTGACCCAACCCGCGACGCACCCCGCGACCCAACTGCAACCCACTCGCGACACCCACCCGCGACCCACCCGCATTGCTTTGGCAAAAGTTCGGCGCCCGCGGCGGGCTCGATGTGCAGCTTGTGACAATCGGCGCCGGCGGCGGGCTTCTCCAGAGAGCCTCGCGGGCTGCCTGCGACCCCGCCGCCCCCTCACTCTGACCCGCAGCTGCGGGGCCGTGGCACCGGTCCCCCCTCCTCCTCTGAGCCTCGGGCAGTCGGCTACACGCAAGAGCGACCCTGGGCAAGAGTGACCTTTGGTGCGCGGCTCTCTGGGGGCCAGGGGGGGGGACCAAACCTGGGCGCGCAAGCCGCCGTTTCTGCTTCGCTTTCAGCCATCTGGGGACCCATATCTGTGCCCGCACCAAATGTCACTCCGGCCAAAGGTCACTCTTACGTCTAGTCGAAGTAGGCCGTCCTCATCCAACACCCGGGCGACGGCGGGAGGCCCTCGTGGACCTTCGGGTCGGTCAGGAACTTGCCCCGCATCTCCGGGTCCGCGGCCGCCTTCCGGTCCCACGGCCACTGCTCCCTCGCCGCCGCTGGGCCCCCCTCGTCCAGGTCGCCGAGGGCCGGCTGGAGGGCCCTCGCCTCGAGAATGCCCCCCGCGAAGAGCAGCGGGCCGAGGATGAGGGCTAGCATCGGCGAAAACACTAGCGATGGGGTGGTACGCTACGAGCAGCCTGCACGATCAGGCGCTACATGCAGTAGTGCGAACAGGGACAGGATCGCTTGAACCCGCACGGCGGCGGAGGAGGAGAGGGAGCAGCAGCAGTAGCAGCAGCAGCAGCAGCAATAGCCGCAGGGGCAGCAGCAGCACCCGCAGAAGCGGAGCGACAAGAGGCAGGATCGCCGAAGATGCACGAACAAAAGGCCCGAGAGAAGGCGTAGTGAAGAAAGGGGAGAGAAACGGGATGGGAACACACGCGACACACTGCTGAGGACGTCAGAATCATATGGCGTAGGTCGTAGGGCGACAAATGTGCAATGTCGCACGTGCGCGACACACGAGGAGCGTGGATGGTCGCCAGAACTGCAAGTACCTTCTGCTGGCCCTGGTCCGCACCATGCTTGTGTCGACTACTGCTATCGTCGATACGGCTTCGGCTACTGCTACAGCTGATACTCCTACTGTCTACGCACTGTCGTGCGAATACTGCTTACTCCCCCATCTCCTGCCAGCGCCCAAAGTACAAGATCAAGACCAACTTCGCTACCAATGCAATACTGGAGCAGCATAGCATCGTACACACAGTCCGCCAGCCCTGTCGGCGTTCGCGACGGACTTCTCAGCCCATTGCGACACCCCCGTCCTCGCATTCTCATCGAACCCTTCCGTGCGTGAGAATTGTCCCAAAAGGGCCCCTTTCCGCTTTGGAGTTTTCCCGAGCTGACACGACGAGCGCGGATGAAGGAACGCCTAGGGGGGAAATCCCCCTCCATCACTGGCCTGTCCCCGTTGGCCCCAGACTGACAAACAACGCGGTTCAGAACGCAGCTGCCGAGCATGCCATAAGAGGGTCCCAGGGAGGCCGTCTACGGGGCACTTTGGCCCTTTGGGTTGATGCAAGAGCCTCACCTTGTCCCAAACACGCGTCTCACTGACTCGGTCTTTCGAGCGTCCAGGGCCGCCCAAGACGATCCTAAGATTGGTCCACGACGGCTCCCGAGAGGAGCCATCGGCGCCTCCAAAAGGGCCCAGGAGTGACCCAGTGGGGGAAGCTTCCAGGAGTCCACGAGCCCCCCCCCCCCCAAATGAGCCCCCAGACCGCGTGCAAGCTGCCAAGGGCGAATCCCGGAGGCCCCGCTTCCCCCCCCGAGGCCACCGAGAAACTCCCGAGGCCTCCAGGCGGCCCCCGAAGACGCCCTCGAGGGGCTCCAAGAGGCCCCCACTGGACCCCGAGGAGGCCTCAGAGCCCGAGGCCGCTGAGACCCTCAGGAGGTCCCCGGGAGGCCCCCGAGGACGCCCTCGAGGGGCTCCAAGGAGCCCCCACGGGACCCCATGGAGGCCTCCGAGAAACCTCGGAGACCCCACAGCAAGGCACGGCGGAGGGACGGGCCGGCGACCACCTGGCCAGGTCCGCCCTCTGGATTGTGAAACGCCACCGCCACATGCTCTGATGGGCCTGTCTTCCACCACCACCACCACAAGTTGGAGAGGGAGGTGGTCCTCCTCCTCCTCCTCCTCCTCGTCCTCCTCCTCCTCCTCTTCTTCCTCCTCCTCCTCCTCCTCCTCCTCCGCCTCCTCCTCCTCCTCCTTCCCCCCTCCAACTTACGGAGCAAGAGGGGAGAAGGCCAGCACATGCAACCATCCCTGAGAGATAGCAAACTCAACTTCCAGCGCGCCCTGTTCAAGTCGGGTGATTCCCGAGTGCGCAGAAAGACGCGCCAGCCAGCGACAAATGGTGGACAAGCTGCGTAATGCTTGGAGCATTCTCATCGCCCAATTCCCCCAGTCACCGTTGGCCGTGATCCCGAACATCCGCATGAATTCGAAAAGGTCGACGCGACCGCTACTGTCCGCGTCGGCAAAGAACCAGAGCCTCGCGTGAATCATTACCCCACATTGATACAAACATGCCTGCTCCGTACCACTAAAGCTCGAATCCTCCGCAATCTACCACCAGAAATAACAAGAAAAGCAGACCGATGCCTTTGCAAGTTCATCGATCAATGGCTGCAGTCGGGTGCGAACAACAATAGATCGATCGGTAAGCACGCGTGAAATCACACACCTTCCGATGAAAAGGCTTGGCAATGTTGATGCGGCGTCTCGGCTGACTGAAACACAGCGTCAACTTTCTTCTTGCCGCCGACCCGAGTCAAAGGAACCCGCCTGGAGGAGCTCATCGGCACTGGTGCGGTCGAGAAGGCACGCGTGCCACCTCGCATGAGGTCGGGCTCAAAATTGCGCCAGCCTGGAAAAACGGTGCCTCGTCCACAGGCTGGAATCCCCTCCTGGAGGAGTCGATCACTGCCCACTGCCTACGCCGCTGCACCGAGACTCCACCAAACGATGCTGCCGCATGCTCGGGGAGCAGGGGGGACGAGGATGGGGTAGGGAGGGATACGGGGGCGGGGCACAGCGGGGCGAGAAGGGGCACGACGAGGAGGACAATGGAGAGCGAGGAGGGAGGAGGAACGGGGACAGCGAGACGCGGACGGGGCGAGGGGGGCCAAGAGCGGGGAGGAGAGGCAGGAGGGCGGAGGGAGGGCGGGCAGAGGCGGCGTGGGCGGGGGAGGAGGGAGGATGGGGCGACCTGGGTTGGCTCGAGAGGAGGAGCGGGGGCGGGGCGGGAGCGGGGGGCGAGCGGGGAGGAGGACGGGGGGCAGACGCGGAGGAGGAGGAAGAAGGCGGAGGAGGAGGAGGAGGAGGAGCAGGAACTTTCCTATGACAGGGGCGCACCACCACGGCAAGGGCCCGGCAGAAAAGGACGAACGGGGCGAGGAGGCGGAGGGCGAGGCGAGGAAAGCACAAGAAGATGAAAGCGGAGCAGAGCGGAACCGAGAGAGAAGAACAGAGCTCGACTTAAGTGCTGTGTTTCGTTTTCGTGTTGTGGTCTGTTTCCCTGATGCTTCCGTCATTCCGCTGTTCTGTTGCACAACGAGATCGGAACGACAACGGCCCACGACATCGCAAAACATATTAGGTCCAGCAGTGGCGGAGCAGGGAGGAATGCAAGTTGATGGAGGATAAAGGAGGCGCATGGTGACGACGGGGAAGGTGGGGAGTATGACGAGAAAGAGGTGAAGCAGGCGGAAAGAGGAGGATGAGGGAAACAAGACACGGCGAACAAGAAGAACAGCTGCGTAGAACGAGCTAACGCATAGTCGCAGAGGGTCGTGCATGCTGCACCACCTCAGACAACTCATCGTATTCAATTGGGGTATCTGGGATTCGTTTTGGATTCCCCAGGATCCACTTGGATATCCTAGGGGTTCCTGCTCCTAGGGATTCCCCGGGAATCAGCATATCCATGTCTACGCACCCTGCTAGAATATACGGCATCTTCCTTTCCTCCGTCGGCGCCCGCTGGCGCCAGCGATCATTTGCTCACTATTGTTGGCCTGTCAGTTGTTGTTGTTGGGCGGCTGTTCCTCCCAGCGGGTAGTTCCTCCTGGGCCACCTTGCACGACACAATGCAAAAAGGAATTGCATTATATTTCGCTGCATCTTTAATCAAATCGGCGTCGTCTTTGTCGTCGCCGTCATCGAAATCGTCGTCGTCGCATTCTTCATATGGGGCTCGCGCAAAAGACCGTGTGCAAGAAGAGCTCGCCATCGTTGTGGTGACCTTGGCTGGTGGCTACCGCGCATGCAATTATGTCGTGCTGGATTTTGTTTGGTGGTTACTTCCCTCATCGGATGACGCTTCCTGGGTTACCTTGTACGACAGGAATGTTGAGCTTGTTTCTTGACGAGTTGAAAGATAATTCGCAACATCTCCAATCGAATCGGCGCGCCGTCTTCGTCGCCGTTATCTTTGTTGCAAGGGAATCGCGCAGGCAATTGCGCGCAGCAAGGGCTCGCCACAGGGAGGAGCTTCTGAGGAAGTATCGTCTGTTGGCGAAACTCTTGAGGTTCTGGTCGTCGAGGTGGTAGAAGTAATTGAAGTCGCACTAGTAGTAGTTGCTGTAATAAAAGCAGGCAAAGTAATAATAGCAGTGCTGAAAGTTATGGTGGTGGTAGTAGTAGTAGTAGTAGCAGTGGTCATTGTCGTACAAGTAGTAGTAGTAGTAGT